CCTGGGAATGCAAAAAATGAAGATCCAGATGAAAACTGCAATAAGGTGAAAAGGAGCCTGGAGTAGAACTATGATGACAACAGGAGTAGGTGGAGAATAATAAAATGTCCTGCTCTCCTTGCAGAACCCCTAGTGTCAACAGTGAAGCACCCAGAGCACATTGTCCAGACATATCCTCTACCCTGGTTTCTCTTTAGGCAGGAAAGCCACACACTTGAGAAAACAAGAGAAAATTACTGCTGTTAGAGCACCAACACAAGTACAGGGAGCTTGCTGGACATAGATCTCCCTCTGCCTCTGTGCCCTGGAAAAGAACAGCAGGCAGCATCCTTTCAGCACAAGAAGCCATTCCTAACACACTGACCCCAATACCATACTGTTCTCTTATGCCAGGGGAGGAGTTGGCTTTGGGGACTGATTTGTATGCAAGAGAGGGTGGGAAAGTCAAAAGCAAATGATAGAAGAGTAGCCACTTACTATTAAAAAAAGAGAAATAAACAACCTATCCCATTGGAAATGAGCTTCTGAAGCTAGGGAGATGGGCAGGAATTCAGCTACGATGAGATAGGTAAAAAGATAAAGAGCAAGAGGTAAATAATGTTTCTTGTCTTGATCTGTATACTTTCCTGCTTGCATGTCTGTTGCTGAACCATATACCCTACTCTCCTGCTTGCCTTGCTCTGACTCATTGAACCACATTGTTTAGATTGAAAGCTCTTTGGGACAGGGCTATGTCCTCCAATGTGTTTATGTAACACCCAGCAGAACAGAGCCTCAGCAACTAGCAATAACACCAACAACTCTGACGGTCCTGACTTTTTAGCATTCTATTTTTAACAAGAAGGTTATTTCCTTTTTTATAAGTACCTGATATTGCTAGCCATTGTTCTTTCTTAATATATTTTTGCCTGGCGCCTGCAAAGATTTTCTCCTTCACTACTGGAATACAGCCATCACTGGAAGAGGAACCTGTCAGCAGGATGGTGCTGAGCCATATAATAGCTCTACTGAGAGAACAAAGTGCCCCCACTCTAGATGAAACTGCCTAGCAATATGCCTACTATACTTTTATGAAACCTGTCCTGGGGCCCTCTAATGTCCGGAATGACAACATGCAACAGGGTTAACATGCTGCTCATTCCCCGTATGCTTAGTGGGTAAAAGGCCACTCTCCTTTCTTCCCCCCTTCCCTATCCTTTGAATTTAAATTACTATTTTCTATTAAGAATCCCTGCTCCCTGAAGGTCCTTTTATAGCATCAGATGAAGTAGGCTGTTGCTTACAAAAGCTTATGCCTCTCCGAATTATTCTTTAAGATGCCACAGCTCTGTCTTGTGCTAGTCATAGAATCACAGAAAAGTAGGGCTGGAAGGGACTGCCAGATTTTCTAGTCAAACCCCTGATCAAGACTAAATCATCCCTATCCAAACCACCACACACGTCCTTGTCTAACCTATTATTAACACTATGCAATCAACCCTGTAGCACAACTATACGGCCAATTTCCCAAAGACATCAAAAGCACCCTAACCTGCCACAGGAAACCAAATGGACAACACTGGTCCGGATTCCCCCCGTCTCCAAGGACCAGGGCTGCGGACAGGAAGGGGGAGGCGAGGCCAGGGCTGCTGGCCTCCACCCCCTCAGTCCCCAGGTTCAAGGCAGCACTCTACTGTGTGTGTCTGTCTGTGTAGGGCACTCTGATTGGTTGGTTCAGTCATCATTGTGATTGGCTGCCAAGACAACCAATCAGAGTGCAAATAAAGTGTGACAGACAGACAGACAGACAGACTAAGGCTTTTATTATATTAGACTAGAATATGGTTTGGAGGCTGGAGTAGGCCTGAGCATCTTTGCTGGTTCCAGATGACCCTTGCTGAAGGGGAGAAATATTCTGCCAGTATGTTCTGACAGAAGAATGTCTAAAAGGTGACTGGGAATTTCTTGTTTAACTCTGATAACCCCAGAACCAGTGTCTGAGAATTACTGAGCACTGTTGAAGTCATCTGGGGAGATTGCCAAAGGTATGTTTCCTCATTTAGATTTATAAAACCTGAGAAGCCTACTTCATGCTTGAGATGTTCCTGCCAATGATTTAAATAATCAGTATAAACAGGAAAAAGACAACAGCAGCCCCCCAAAAAGACTGCCCAGCACTAACAAAAAAAATGGATTATCCCAGTCTTTTGAGAAGCAACCTCATCCTTGAAAGCTCCCTTAAAAAGATCTGCCTTGTCCATGCCTCAGAGGTGGATAGGCTATTGTGACCTAGATTGGGAAGGAAGCAGTTTCCAAAGAAAAAGAATGAGGAATAAAGACTGAGTAATAAGATGACAAAAAATGAGCTAGGATTTCTAGTAGCCTCTATGTCTGCCTAAACTTCCTGAGGCAGTTAGGGCCCAAGAGAATACAGACACCAAGAAGACACTAATACCAGTCATGCAAAAGATGTCACAAAAAGTCACACTTCTGTATGGATGGCAGATCAGGTGATGGGTTTCTAGGTCTTGGCTGACTTGGTCCACATAACTCAGTAAGACTGTGATGCTAGTAGCCCCTGAAGGTATGATAGTTCCCACTGTTGAGGGAACCTATGAACCAGAGAGATACCAAGGTAAATCCACAGGTGGGTTTAGAGAATCACCCAAGCTGAGAAAAACTTGCAGATCATAAGGGCAAGCAATCCTTGAATGAAATGAAGGCACTTATCCCAGATAGCAGTATGGCCAAGTCTGAAGACTTCAGGACCATCCTCTTGATGGACCAGTATACATGAGATGTGGACAAGGGAATCAGTGAAACAGTCCCTGCTTAATATCATGGAAGATGGCAATTACCTAGAGAAAAGGCAGTTTGGCATGGCTAGTGCTGGAGGAGCCATATCTATGTCCAAGATTCCAATCAAAGTAATAAGAGTTCCAAAATAAATGATGCCCTAAATTGTACTTCTCATTGTCACCAAGCCCCAGGCCTACAGTTCAGGTACTGAGCTCTGAGGAAGGAGATCTTTAAGCAACTCATACTAAAAGGCCTTTTCCTAGAGGCAGTGGTTCTCAACCTTTTTAAATTCAAGGCACCCCTCCAAAAATGGCAGATCTTAATTTTCATTTGTCTTTTTTACTTATTTTGACCTTTTTCACTTGTTTTTGAATAATAGAGCAATTTTTCTGTTGCAAAAAAATAAGGAAGACCACAACATGTCAGAATGTTTTTAACACTATGAATTCCTACATGAAAACTCTGGGTTTATCTTGTGAATCATGTTTGTACCCCATGGCACACTCAGAAGGGTCTCAAGGCACTCCAGAATGCCAGGGCACCCTGGTTGACAGTCACTGTGCTAAGGTGACTGAGCCCAGTGGAGTCAATATCAGAACACAAAGTATTATTGCAGTGAAGATCCTCAAGTCTGAGGCAGAAGAAGAAGGTCTCCCATAGTGAAGATATTCTGGGTGTGAAAACTAGTATAGTCCATACAGTCATGATTTCAAGATAGGTTCTTTGACTTATTCATTCACTTGTTCCTGAGCTCCAAGGAAAAAATGCATTGCTGGGAATCAGCATCCCTGGAAACTCAGTAGACTTCTGCATGGACTCTTTTTCTCTGCCAGTCCAGTGGTTGCTGGTAGAGCCAGCTTCCTCCCCATTCTTGTTATCAATTTTTCAAATGTGACTGAGAGGTCTTAGCCTGTACTTCCCCCAAAATACTCTAAGTGCTCACAGTCCATACCTACCATCTTAAAATCCAATACAGTGCTGGGTATCAAATTTAACTTAGGCCCTCAAAGAGAGAAGCAGCAGTCTGAGCTGAGCAGGCCAGAAGGCAACATCAGGCTGAGCTGCTCCTGGGACATCTTGGAGGTAAGGGCAGGAGCTATGGGGATGGTTTGGAGGCTCCTGGTCCTGGGCATGACCTGAAACCGCACCCTGCCAGGGAAGGGTGGTCTGGTGAGGCTCCTAGTGGCATGCAAGTCCCCAGGAAATGCCAAGCCAGTTAACCCCCCCCGGTGAAAAGTGAGGAGGAGTGCCTTATAACCCTAGTCCCTGCCTATGGGTGGGCTACCAACACTGGAAGGGAGTGGGGCAAGGCAAGCCCAGTTTTGGGGCCGCCTGAGCCCAGTGTAAGGGCCAGGCATAGCAGCAGCTACCTGAGCCTATAGGGTGGAAGACCCTGGGAGTGTGAAGCGGCCTAGTGAGGGACAGAAGGCCCAGTGAGGGGCTGAGTGTGTAGAGCAACCCAGTCAAGAGTGGTAAAGATGAGTGGCCCTAGTGAGGGGAAGAACTACTGACTTGGGGAAATAGATGTATCAGATGGGACAATATGGAAATACCGGCTGTGACAGAAATACTGGAATTGACAATATGGAAATACTGGATGTGACATTGAAACAGCTGCGAGGCATGGGACACATGTAAAGAGAGGTCGGAGAGTGTACTTAGGACCCTGTTATCAAGAGGTTGAACAACGGGCAGCCTCCCGCCTTAGAAATAACATTCATATTATTTTCATCAAGGTGTGGCAGGTGAGTGAGGTTGGGGTTTGCCCAGAACAGGTGGGCGGCTGGCATTGGGACATGGCCTTGAAATGCCATCCTGTTACAGGGTGGTTGCAGCCAGCTTTCATGAAGCATGATTCTGAATGTCATTTCAGTGTCTGGAGTAGGGAGATCCACTCCTGGTCTCTGAAATCCCTTTGCAAAGGAGACCTGAGCAATCATCTCAAGCTTAACCCTTCAGCTGCTTATCCTCCACTGCAGTGTTGCCCTAGGGTTTACTCAGTGGGTTTGGGGCTTACAGCTCCCAGTCCATGAAGCAGCATCCAAAACCTCCAGGACTTGCCTATGCAATGCAGACCCCTCTCTACCAGAACTTTTGGTTCCCTCCCATTATCTTCCAAGTTTTGACCTCTGTTCCCTAATGACGTGCTGAAAAGCAGCAGTCCCTGGGTGCATTTTGTGTGCCCTGCTCAGAGGACAAGGAAAGAGCAAAGGGAATCCTACCTGTTGCCCTATGTCCTCCATTTTGGTTTCTTTCCTGTTGGCATCTCCGTTTCCAGACACATCTGCTCTAGGTCTTTCTTGCGGACCATGGGCTCCTTTAATTTCTGATGTCTGATTACCTGCCCCTTGTGTAGTGCTCTCCTGAAGGGCAGTGTTTCTTTTGTCCCACTTCACCAACTCTTTCCTGTCTCCTGGGTCTCCAGCATTCTGCTTTCCAGGAACCCGAAGGCCCTCATGCTTCTTTTGGTCACTTTCATTCTTGGGGGCAATGTTTTGGAGACTAACATCCTTCAGTGAGCCAGACTTACTAGCACCCTTTCCCTCTGGTCCATTTTTGTGAGCATCCAAGTTGGCTGGTGCATCTGTAGAACCCTGGCCTTGGCCTGGGGCATTTGAATAACCTTCCTCTTGGACTCCTCCAATTTGTACATCGTCCACTTGAACAATTCCACTTTGAGGACCCTCCTGTTGGAGCTTTTCACCACTGCAGGCCTTACATTCTAAGTCATCAGGACTAGGGCCCTTGCTGCCATCAGGAAGGGGCTCATCCTGCTGCTCCTGGAAACTGGACTTCTTCTCAATATGGGTAACCCGAAACCTAGCAAAGAAAAAATCAGGTCAGACATAGGGATGAATATTTTCCTTCATCTCATCTAGACCTTCAGAGTATACAGGCTGACCTCTAGCCCCTGGCCCTTCATTTTCCCTCCATTGGCAAGCTGATGCTCTTTTCTTCTGGTTAGCTACTCACCATTCATAAGTTGAGCCTGACCCCTGCAATTTTTATATCATCTCTCAAACTGAATCTTGATCTCTTGTCAACTCATACACCATACTGCTGCTATCCTCTGAGATTTTAAAGCAAAGTCTTCTGCATGCCATTACTAACATTTGACTTGCCTGTGCTGTATGATCTTGAACGTGTGACTCCCCTCCAACCTCTCCCTGTCACATTTTGGTGTGTGGACAATTGATCTCCAAGCCTCACCAAGCAAACATTTTAAGCTAACACTAACCATTACTTCTCCCTCTCCAGCATTCAGGTGACAATCCTATTTTCCCTCGCTCTCAAGCCTTCTGCATGTCTTGCTGATCTCTCCCTTGACTGCATGCCCTTTTGCTTGCCCCTGATCTCACCCCATTCTTTGCACACATTTCTTTTCATGCTTTGCAGAATGGCACCTGCTGTCATATTTCTTCTACTAGGTGACCAGAAAGCCGAGACAGGCTGAGACAGCAGTCACCAGTTTTGACCTGGTAGAGAAAGAAGAAGCCAGAAGTGATCATCCTCCAAAAAGAGGGTACAGTTGGGACTAGGCATCTTGCTATGGTTTCAGATGTGTAATTTAAACTGAAAGTTGTACTCATTCAGCCCGCCTGTAAATGGGTGCCTGGTCATTTGGGCTGGGGAATCAAGGCAACCAGATATGATGCTAGTCACTTCAATCTCTTGTGTGTCTTTGGCTACAGAAACTGCCACTTCGTAGCCATGCTTGCCCAATGGGCTGCCTAGGTTCAAGAGGACCTTTGACCTCTTGGCTAAGCCCTGTAGGGAGGCTCAGTGTGTATGTCTCCATCTTTGCACTCCTCACACCTGTTAGTATGAAAAATGGTTCATTACCTTTCACACTGAGACTCATGGAAAAGTGACTGGGAAAATGCTCTATGATTGTGTAAGGGTGTTCAGTACCTAATGTGACTACATCACAGTGAACAGGTATTTTCTCTAGCAAAAAAAAAGAGCAGTAGTCTCTGCCAGCTATAGGTGAATGAACCTACCCTGCAGGGCTTAGCCCAGCACTGTGTGCCTCTCCTTGACAGAGCCATTCATTCATTCCTGGGCTTGCTTCACTCTGCCTATTGCCATTGTCACTGCAGGTCACTGGTAATTTATATGCAGATCCTGCAGTAGGAATGCTCCACCTCTAACATTGTAGGAGGTACTGATACCAACAACTGATCTCAGATTACTGGCCCTGCCTGTCAACAAAAGCCCTACTCATGCACTGTTGTCACAGTGGGTTCTTCAAAGGATGTACACTGAACATACCCTAGTAATCCCACTCACAAGAGCATGCTTCTCTCAGTCAACAGGATAGATTGAGAAAATAGGTGGGAACTGCCTGCTTTTTCTCTAGGAGAGGAATCAGCATCTGCTTTGCTTTGCCTAGAAAGCAAAGAGCTGGTAAAGGAAGTGTTTGCTCTGTATATGTAATCTATGCAGAAGTAGGCAATTTGGGGCTGGAAAATTTGACTGGGAGCCAAGAGACCTGAGCCATCTTGTTTGTTCTGATCCAGTAGGACTTGTGCAAGTCATCATCCTCTGTGTCAGTTGGTGATGCGTAGAGGGTGCATGCGGGTGCATGTGCACCCCTGAGAGCACTGGTGCACCCCCTGACAGCCAGCGTTCCCTGCTTAGGTGACAAGAAGGGCAGGGCAGGTGAGAGTGCTGGTCCCCGCCCCCTCCAGAGCACCAGCCTGGGAGTGGGGGCACCAGGAGAAGTGATTCCTGTGGTCCCTCTGCAGCCAATCACCCGGGGGGGAGTGGGGGGGACAGGGGGATTCCCCCACGGCCAATTGTGCCAACCTGGAAGTGTCAGTGTGATTGGGTGCAGGGGACCCCCCCATCCCCCATCTGGTTGCTGACTGGCCACGGGGGGGGGAGGGGGGGGCAAGTGCCCTCCCTGACTCAAGAGGCACCAGTCACCCATACTGTGTTTCATTATCTGTGAAATGAAGGTGTTAAAACTGCCCAGAGGTCAATCATTAAGACACCAATGGTGCCCAATCTGATGCCAGCATTTCTTCAGCGAACAAGGTGTAGTAATGTGTAGCCATAGACAATTCAAGGGACAGGAGTCATTTAGATATGGGGATACACTATCTGAACCACAAAAGGAAATAACAAAGTATGACAATGTTGCAGAATTTAAATTAATATGAAAAGTCAGAACTCCTTGATGTAGAAGCAGATGCACAAAGAGATAAAAGATAGCTATAAATATCCATGGATAACTACTTCATTAAAGAAATTCAGGATGAATGTTACTAAAAAACAGCAAGACTTGTATAGTTCCAATTATACGCCTCTGATTGAAAGACTCAAAATAGATTTAGACAATTGGTCAAAATATGAAATGTTGTGGTCATTTAAAATTGCACTGGGTAAAGATAAAGCAAACATTCTGTCCAACAGTCAAACTTAATGTATTACTATGGCTAAAGAGATATTTTAGGTCCAATTCAATATATAATTACCATTTTACAAAAACAGCAACGAAAATTTGGGGAAAAAAGATGCTTACTTAGAAATTTGGTAGAAATTTTTGGAACTTGCTAAAAAAAGAAACTTCTCCTGCCTCCAAAAGATAAAATTTGAGAAACTTTTTGAATATTGAAGAAAAGTGCATGTTTTATGAGCTAACACTTAAGAACACATTTAAAATTTTAAAGCAGAGATAAGCAGAAGATAGTAAGATTTGTATTATGCAGAGTTCTGAGAAAAAAGAGGGAGGGTGAATTATTATACAGAGATGAAGAAACACAAAAGCTTAACATTGACTGAAGCTTAAAGGAACTGTCAGAGGCTAAAAGGAAGAGAAGAAAAGAACACAAGTGTCCTGCATACATTGACTTGGGTCATCTTGAGCACAGTTGATAGAAAATAAATATCTGTCTTTATGTATGTTTTAGGGGACTGGATATACTTTAAATTTTAAATTTGTTATTTGATAAGTTGGATTAATTAATAAAGTAAAAAAAAGATTTTGGGATAGTAGTTGCTTGTCTCCTAGCATTAGTATTGCTGGAGTAACGGTAAGGAGGAACTAGAGAGCTCCTTGGGGCAAGGAAAAGCAGGGAGAAGAGGAAGAAAGGCACAGGGACCATGAGATCAAAAATGGCTTCAGTAGAGAGGCCACTCCCTTCTACAACAAATGCAAGGCCAACAGGAAATGCTTTGGTAGGGATCTGCTAAATACCTGCCGACTGAGAAGACAGTTGTCTCCCCAGGATGCATCCTGGCTTTGCCCTCCTTGGATCTGCCCTGGCGATGCACAGCATGCCTCTTCTTCTTGCTGCAGTGAATACACGGGGCCTGTGTGGAGCCCAGGTGCACTGTGTGGTGATGTGGCGGGCCCCCATCCTGGCTATTACGATGAGGACAAAGACTGCTGTAGGAGAGGAAACAGAGACGATCAGTTCCTTATAAATGGGGGAGGTCAGCCATCATGTTGGCCCACCTTCAAGTCTCTGTACTCAGAGAAGAAAGAGTTCTTGAGGAAATTAATGGAATTAGAGCAGAATTGCTCACAGGGTTGAAGGCAAGAAAAGGATGTACCATCCTGACTGAAGGAGAGTGGTCACACAATGACAGAAAATTGAGATCCCCATGAACTTGGGGTCTCAGCTTCTTCACAGGTGAGCCATAAGAGCCCAGCTTCACCTTGTCCTCCTAAGCTTTCCAGGTAGCTGTTGAGACCAAGTGGGATTGGATTAGGGGCCTGAGTGCACTCAGACAGTCTCAGGATTGGAATGCTACCCATGGCACTGCTGATCCCTTCACTGCTGCAAAAGCTGAGGAATGGTGGACGATCCCCCTCACCTGGGCACTGGCACATGGACATCCCCTTCACTGTCCCCCAGCATTTCCTTCAGGGCTTCCACATTTGCTGGCAATGAGAAGAAACAGAAAATATATCCAGCCAGAACAGTCCAGTGCTCAAAAATACCCCCCAGAGGCAGGCCCAATGAAATACCCACCTTCATTCTGAATGATGCATCTCACAATCTTCTCTACTGTGTCCTCATTCAGCTCCTCCTCTTCATCTGAAAGGAGAAAATATGGCAGCGAGGAAAGACATTTATGTGCTCCCCTGGCAGGGAGGTCATCCATAGACAGTCCCAACTACTGGAGAACAAAAGTAACCAAGAGTAAACCAAGCACCTTTATTCTATATAGGGAAAGCCCTGAAAAGCAACTGTACCCTGTAGCCATGCTTAGGAGACGCACCAAGTGTCTGGGCTTTCCCTTCCATCATCAAGCCTCATCTCTAGAGGCAACAGGAAATTATGCTGTGGTGTTTTCCCTCCATTAGCAGAATTGTCTCATGCCCTGGGAGAATAGGTTTACCCTTCCACACAGGGAATTAGTGAGACCTCATGAACAAAAGACCCCCACAGTGGTGGGGGGTCTTGAAAAAGGACTGTCATAGAATCCAAGAAAAAATCTAATAAAATAAAAGTCTTTGTCTGTCTGTGTGTCTGTCCATCTGTAATGCTGTTGGGCAGCTGTGTATGCACCACCAAGAGGGTGGGCAGCGATTGACTGCATGGGCCTGGGCTGCACAGGCCCAAGCTTGTGCTGCTGCTGGGGAATTTTGTGGTGGCGAATATGCCCCAGCCACCCAAGCAGTGGGGTTTCCTCCCAGCTGAGGGATCATGGTGGGGGTGCCCACACACTGCCTGGCCCCAATACCCCCCAGAACAGCTGGTAGGGATGGGGAGGTGGCAGGCAGGGAGAGAGGAGGGAGGCAAGGGCCAGACCCAGAGCGGGGCCAGACCCAGAGCGGCAATGAGGGAGGAGTTGAGTGGGGCCACACCCAGAGAGGCGATGGGGGGTGGAGGTAGAGAGGGGCCGGACCCGGAGCAGCGGTGGGGTGGGGCAGAGTACGGCCGGACCTGGAGCAACGGGGTGGAGGTGGAGTTGAGTGGGGCTGGACCCAGAGCAGTAGGGGGCAGGGGCGTGGGGCCGGATGCAGGGCTCCGTCCCCACCCACCTGCCCCCACCCCCCGTCATTCTTGATGGGCAATTTGCTAGTATTTGTAATAAAGTCTCATAACGTAGGATTTCTAGACCACAGTGACAAACATGCTTCATTGTTAGGAATGCTTCTGGCTGGGCAGTGCATCGTGGAGTGGTGGAAAGCAGCAGCAGTGCATCAGCAAGAAGGCTGCTCCTTTTATTAGGGGAAATACTGGTGTCAGAGGCTTTGAGAAAGCATACACTAAGACTGAAAATACGGTTTACATGAACCACACATCATAGGAAACCTTGCATTTTCCTGAGGCAACGTTCCTTTGGGCCCTGGAGGTGAGATGAGGGGCATGAAGCCAGTCTACAAGGAAGATTCTGCAAGGCTCCTATAGGGGTTCCAGACAACTTTCCTAAGTAATTTAAAAACTGATCTCCACCAGAAAGTGTTGACCCCAAGTGTCCTCTTCCATCTGAACCAGTGATATCTAAAATGAAGTCTTTTCAGTGGTTACAGGTGCAGAGTCCAATCTTGCACATCTGGAAGCTAATAGGAAGATTCCTATTGATATCACTGAGCCTTGGATTGAACTCTGTGGTAATGGAGTACAGAGCTTATAATTTCTGGGAAGCTCAAATATATTTCCACGAGTGGAACTGAGAGCTGCTAAAGCCCTGAGTCCTATCTAAGGGTTCTGGGAAGGCCCAAGTTGCACCTGTATTTGTGAATGCCAGGCATTTGTGAGAGCCACATTTGCTCCAAGGAAGCTGTGAGTTCTGCCAATCAGAATTACAACTCAGTGTCAGAGGCTGTAGCTTTTGGAGCCCTGCTCTTAAACTGCAGAGTTCAGTAGTTACACAACTGCCATTTTGAGTTATGAAAGTTACAGAGAAAAGAGGCAGCTATTCCTTTGCAGTAAAAGCTGAAGAAGCTAGTAAACAACAAAGGCAGTTAAGATATAGCTAAAGAAAGTCATGTCAGTTAGAAGAG